ACTATAAAACAGGGGCTTTCAATTGACCTAGATCATGGCTGTTAAGTTACGGTAGATGCATGACTTAAACCTGGATCACTAGACTCTTATTAAGGGTAAGTGAGCAGTACCTTTTTTTTTTTTTCCCTCAAAAATGTACTGATAACTTCATGGCCTTATTCTAAATCAATCCTAGAATCTACTCTCAAAAGCTGAGATGTGGCTGAGCAGAGGAAATCTACTAAGAGACAAACTGAAATCAGTGTAATCACTTTAGGTTCTGAAGCTTAAGATAAGGGGGACTATTTCTAATGTACGAACAAAGACGGAGGGCCTAGATCTGGGATGAGGGTTCCATGGATAACATGCCTCCCACCCGGAAAGAATTTTACCACCTTTTGTTTTTAGCTTAAGCTTGGAAGCAGGTTTTTGATGAGATGCTAGTGTTGTCCTCAGTCCTGTACGGAGCTTTTTATTCACTCTTTCAACCTCTGCCTCTCAAAATCTATTCCTTCTGGAGACATCACCGTCACAGGAAACTGCACCACCCAGTTACCAACCAAAACTTAGGAGTCATCCTCAGTCCCTTGATCTTCCTCAATTCCAACATCCAAACTCTCAGAAAGTCCTAAACTCTGTACATCCAAGATACACCCCTTACGTTTCTATTTTTCTCTGTCATCATTGCTTCTGCCATCATTTCTTTCCTGCTCCACTCTTGAAAAAAATCTCCCCGCTTCCATTCTGTACCCTTGCAAACCATTCTCCATCAGTTCATGTCACCTCCCTGTTTTAAGTTTTCCGAAGTTATTGCCCTGCCCTGGATCCACCTCTGCCTTTTCTATTATAAATCACCCTGAATATCAAGATGTCTATAGATCTGAATCAAAGGTCTAGTTTGGACATGGGGCATTTACAATCTTTCACTCATGTCTTTCTATATTCACAAGTTGTTATCACAGGAAAGTGGGAGTTGTGTTATATAATCCTAATTTATGATTATGAAATGCTTCCAGTGTGCAGAGTGTAACACATCGCCTCATTAATTGTCACCCTGTATTAATCATGTTTTAAAAATTTTCTGTATTTTATGATGCTTTGACATCTGGGAGGCTTGCTATTTCTGGAGAGACTGCCCCTCCCAGGGTTAGCTAATTCCTAGAGCTAGCAAGCAGCTTGTCTTCCGCATGCCTTTTGCGGGCAAACCAATCAAGTAAGAGCCCACATCCCCAACTGCCTTCTTTATCCAACTGTCACACACCAAGCTATTTCCTCTGCCCTAACTCACCCCAGGAACACTAGAGACTACCACTGTAGCCCAGGGCCTGCCAGAATTACTCGAACAATCTGATTCTAAGCTTGCTCTAGCTTGCCTACCCAGCTTTACCCATTCCTTCTCATAGATGCTGCAACCAAGGCTCTGGGTCTTTGCTTTCTCCTTGCTTCCTCTCCTTCTTGACACTGACCCGCCCCCCCCGCCCCCCCCCCCCCGTGTTTCCCCACATGGCTCTGCAGGGCATGGTATGCCCTCTCCTCTTGGGAATGGTAAGTAATGAACTCTTTTTTCAAGGAAGCTGTCTCTATGTCTGTTAACATACCAGACCTCAAAACAAGATCTTGGGGACATCTCAAGACAATAGCTGAAGGGTTGAGAAGTCAGTCTCCGAAGAGACAGTTCAACTCCAGAACCAACATTCCTCGTCAGTACTCTTACTTTGTCCTCAGATATTCATCTCCATATATGCGGATATACATCCAAGAGAGGTTAAACTCCCCATCATGGTGCTCAACCAAATATTCCTTAGGAAACCCCCAATATAAACCACTTAATCCTTGTTCATTGTGAACCTCGCCTCCTGTTCTCTTTTCCATTCCAAATTGGTTTGTCTTTCTATTCTATAAATGGAATTCTGGTCCCTAGCAAAGACTTACACATGAATGAAATCTCCCCCACAAAACTGTTGACTGGCAAAGATTCACATAAAGATTAGACCTCTGTAGTTATTTCTCTGATTCACTAGCCCTTGAGTTCAGTGATTTATTCAACCACAAATATTGAACTAGGAAGCCAGCTTACTAGAATAAAATAGACACAATAGGCCCTGTTCTCCAGGACTCTAGGTCCCTATAGCTGGAGGGAGCCAGCCCAGAAAAAAGAAAGATTTCTTACATAATATTAAGAGTATATAATGTCTTGCTTCAACCTACCTCTGCTTCTCTTCTTTTCTTGTCCCTTCTGTTCTTTTCGCAGCTGGGCTTCTTCCCCAATAACTTGTCCCATTTCAAGCAATCCTTCATAGACTGAGTTAGCATTTAGCAACTGCTCCATTTGCATCTCCCAAGGAGCACTAGGACCAGACTGACAGGTGCATGACAAGGGAATGTCACCTGAGCCCACTACAACCAAGTGGCAAGAGCTGTGTCACTCCTACGGCAGACTGACCCAACCCCATACCACCATTCCCCAGTGTTCAAGACAAAAACTCTGTAACTGAAGAAAATAATAAGCACAGCCTCACATTCTCAGCTTCACTCAGGTTAAAGCACTAAAGAAAGCCTTTCCAGTCTGGTGATAATGGATAAGAGCATCTCAGAGTTTAGGGGATTAGGTACAATGTGTATACAGAAAACCCGGGTACACTCAAATCTCCAGGAAAGATGTGTGTCATTAAAACTGGCAGGTGGTTCCAAAGTAAGTAGTTTGGCTGTTCTCTGAGGCCTGAGCTTCTCTTCCGGGCATCTTTTCTCTCCCATCCTTATAGCCCAAGAGCTCAGGATGAGTGTTCTGCCCAACTCCTGTCTTTAATAATATCTCTTTTCTGGAAAGGAGCTGATACGTGTTTTTTTTTTTTTAATATTTAAAAGAGATAAAGCAAACATAGCATGACTAGTGACCAGTATTCTTTCTTCCTGAGGTGTGATGGTCTCATTAAAAACTTTAGACCTAAAAACATATGTGGGCTCCCATTTACAAGGGAAGATGGGGCAGTATATATAAAAGCTCAGTCCCCCATAATGGGGAGCAGATAAGATGCCTTTAAACAGCTAAAGGAATGAATAAGAATTTAAAGCTTATTTTTGAATTAAATTCCATTGTCCGGAGCCCTGCCTAACTTAACAAAAGGATTTGAGAAAGAATACAGTACAGAAAATGCACCTAACAGCCCCTGAATTATGATATAGGGGGATAAGCTCTGGTTCTGCAGGTATGAGGTGCTTCTGCCAGAAGGAACAGAAGAAAAGCAATAGGACCAAGGAAAGCCTGAGCGCTCTGGTTAAGCACTGAAAGAAATTAAGCCTCAAAGAAACTGATAGGCTGGCCTTTAAGGATGCCCTAACCCCCAAGTCCCCTCCCAATACCACTGTGGTGCCAATTCATGTTGTGATCATAAAGCCATAGAGTTTCTGAAAATCAACCCTAGCACTCTTTAGGCTCTCCATGTGTTTTCCCCATCTCTCTCTCTCTCTCTCTCTCTCTTTTTACAATAAGATACTTGAGCATGGAGCAGTTTGGGGACTATTCTGTATGTTGTGCAGTAAGAAGAAATTCAGACTTGCCAGTTTGGGAAAGAGAGAGAGCAGGTCTAGAGCCATAAGTAGCTCCGAGGTGGGTAATCTGAGCAGAAAGCATATTTCATCTTTTTGCAAAAGCTCCGGGGAGCCCCGCCATAGGACTGTACAGCTTGGCCAGGCGGCGAACGGCGGCAGTGGTGAACGCGCACACACCGGTTTAGCTACCTCCGGGGAAATGATGTTCAGTTCTCCGGGGCGGGGTCTGGCAACTTCTGCTTGGGCAAGGTGCGAGCATCACTTTTCCATTTGCTGCTCCCTCCTCCACCCCCGCCCCGAACTCCCTCTTCCCCCACTCCCCTCCCCCCGCCCCCCCGCCTCTTGCAGGGGAAGCCACCAAGAGGGGCGCGGCATCTTCTCGGCTGGCTCGGGTGTCAGGGGGAGAGTGGAGCCGGCTGCGGCGCCCGCCTCACCCCCGCTCCGCGGCGGAGCCCTTGTGGGCGCGGCGTGGCAGGGGTTAAGGTGGGCGCTCGCGCCCCGCGCCCCGCGCCCGCCGCCGGGATGAGCGCGCAGTCCGCCGGCTCGCTCGCAGCCGGCCCGGGAGAAAGTGGCGGTCAGTGATGGAGCTGCTGCCATGACAACCCCGGCGGTCGGGGCCCGCGCGCGTCGGGGCCACTCCCGGGAGGAAGGCGGCGCGGAGGCCGGGGGCGGCCGCTGAGCGTGGCGTCCGCGCGTCCCCGCGTCCCGTGCCGCGTCCCCGGAGGAGGCGGGGGCGCCGTCCGCCAGCTCCCCGTGCGCCCGCAGCCTGCGCCGGGCGGCGCTCTGCGGGCTGGCGACGCGGGCCGGGCTGGCCACCAGTCGCCGCCCGGGCTGCGGTGGAGGACGCCCACGGCACCGACGGATCCTCGGGCTGCGACGGCCGCGTCCCCGCGCTGGAACTTTTTGCCGCCTTTGGGTTCCAGATTCGAGACTCCGGCTGGTCTATAAATACATCTGTACATGTGTGTGAGCTAATAAAACATTTTCTCCTCTCCTTGAAGCAGCAGCCTTTTAGGACATCTCCTTTATTTCAGAGACACTTGCCTTGCTTCTTTGGGTTATAAACTTTTGATGCCAGACCTCTGCAGAACGTGCCCAACTGAATCTTAAAGTAGCATCTTGAAGAGAGAGGCAGAGAAAGAGCAATCTGTGACCTTCATCCCTGCACCTTCCTCCTTCCTCTCCCTTCCTGGCTGCCTCCCTCCTCCCCAGGGGAGCGTCAAGAAAGCTCTTTTTGGATGCAGGAGGGGGCATCAGGTTCTGCTAGGCTGGAAAGCTGAGGCAGGATTTGAGGAAGAATCATTAGACTCCGGAGAGCCTGGACTCGTTTCTCCTCCTTACCCCTCTTTGCTTCTGGCTTGCTCCATCCCTTTCCCGTCTCCCCACACCACAACCCGCGACCCGCTGGTGTGCGGGGCGGGGGACAAGGACCGCGCCGCTGCCGGAGTTCTGGGAAGTTGTGGCTGTCGAGGATGGGGGTCTGTGGGTACCTGTTCCTGCCCTGGAAGTGCCTCGTGGTCGTGTCTCTCAGGCTGCTGTTCCTTGTACCCACAGGAGTGCCCGTGCGCAGCGGAGATGCCACCTTCCCCAAAGCTATGGACAACGTGACGGTCCGGCAGGGGGAGAGCGCCACCCTCAGGTAGGGAGCTGTACTTCAGCAGGGGACTGAGCCCCTCGGACGTTAAGGATGTGGGTAGGGGCCAGCAAGACAGCAAGAGAGAGAGAGAGAGAGAAAGAGAGAGAGCAGAAGGCTGGGGTGGGGGAGTAGGGCATGCGAAGGGCCTTTCTTCAGGCCCGAGAGTTGTCCACTTGCAGACTGTGGCTGCTAACACCCATTTTCCTGGACAGGTTTGTCATTTGCTCTGGCTTTTCTGGTCGGGGATCTGATGCAGGACACGGAGGTCCATGCTTGGGACTCCATGCATCCATGAGGCCATGACATGGCTAGATTCACTTGATGGCCTGGCATCAAGATGAGAACACGAGCGCCCTGTAATTGCAGTACTGGGGGTTAGCCTAAGATCACTGAGCGCTTTGGTGCTCTCTCACAGGCCAGAACGTGATGAGGCAAGGTAGTCTTCCTGATGGGGTGACTTGCTCCTACCAGAGACCTACCTAAAATGTCAGGCTCTGGAATTGCCAGTGCTGGGCCATAGCCATTTATGAGTCTGCTCAAGACGCAGCCATCCATGCCAACCGTGTGTGGTGCTCCTGGGACCCCTATTATAAATTATGAGGGCAGTTTTATCTTTGCAGACTCGGACCAAGGAGAGGAAACATGTAGCTTTTATGCAACGACATCACTCCTGTGCGAAAAGCACAATAGAAAGCTTTTTGTTTTACCTTAATGAGTTACAGAGAATCGCTTACATGCTCCAGGCAGAGGGGTGGAGATTCTTGGAATATGAACCTTTGGGGACTGGGCCCACTGCAGCAGAGACTTTAATAAAAATGCAGCCACCACTTTCCACCAGCTCAGCAGATATCATCTTTTATCCCTTTAATGAGGCAGTTCTGGTCCTAGGAGACAGATTCAGGGACGTCCCAGCTTAACTCTGGCTTACAGTGTACACAGGCTGAATGCGTTTGCCCTGTCTATGACTTTGATGGTTATGTTGAAAATAAAACATGCTGTCCCAGATTCTGCAGCCAAGAAGCCTGGCTTCTCCAAGGAATAGTTGAGGATGGGGCTTCCTTCCTGTTCCTTTGGCTGCCCTGGTTGAACTCTCTCTGTATCTGAACAAGCTGCGCCCAGGGAAGGAAAGAAAGGTCTCTCGGGACACTGGCTATTTTTTTTCCCCAAGCTCCAGGCTAAGGTTGAATTCTTGCCACTTTCAGAGATTCTTAGCTGCATCTTCTCTTGGAGAAGAGAACAGGTTTCAAAGATCTGTCTGCTGGTGCTCAGGGGCCCCAGAAGAAGAGAGAAAAAGGGGTGCTAGGGACAGACTCCCCTCCCTGACTGCAGGAGGGAAAACCCTTCTAGCCCCATGGGCACTCGTCAGCCTATCCCAGACTAGAGTGCAATACGTCTCAAGAAATTTCTGGAGCCTCCTCCTGAAAATTGACCTGTGGGATGCACATTGGCCGCAGAGCTGTGGGCTCAAAAATAGGAGTGGTACCCCGGCTACAACACAGGTTCACCGAGGAAATGTTGGTAAATGTTAGCAGGTGTGAGGGGCTGGTGATGCTGCCACACACCTGTCTTTATCTTCTAACCTAGTACTGGGGGTGAAGAGGCCCAGCACCGAATAAAGCCTCCTTGCTGAACCTTCCAAATCTTTTGTCCCGTTCCTGACCCTGGAAGTTAAAGCAGAAACTTAAAAACTCCCTTTCTGCTTTCCAGGATGCAGTAAGATGATTCCACCAGTAGAGGGCTAGCTTCGCTCTGCCTTTTTTTTTTATTAGGGGCTGGCCTGGTTTCATGATCTTCAATTCAAATGTTCAGCAGCTGGGCTTGGTAATGGGAGTGGGAATAAAAACGGGAAAAGCTGAATAGTTGCTTTTTGTGCTTTGTGGAGGAAAAAAAAAAACCTTAGATGTGCGAGTATAACTGTTATCTGTTACCTGATTGCATGCTTTTATTTTTTAAAAAGTGTTGATTTTGTCTCTCCTCCTCTGTATAGTTTGCTCTGAAATAGAGCGATTCAGCACATTGTCCACATTTTAATCTCTTTATATTCTCCTTTTTACCTCTTGTGTTCTCTCTTATTACTTTAGTCTTCGATTTTATCAGGTGATTCCATTTTACATGCTTTTGCCTATAATTCGTTCTCTTCACCCTTTTTTGCCTTTGTCATTTAATTCTTATTAATTTCTGTTTTTTTTTAAGGTTTTGATTTCATTCTTGCCACAGTGTTTCTTAAAACAACATCCCAATCTCCTGCAGCTTTCTGGGGGTCCCAGTCTCTCTCTAGTTCTGCGTGCACCTTTGGTTTATTGGCTAACAGCTGTGTACCCATGTCAATGAAAAACTTATTTGTCAGGGCTTCAAGGGAGAGTCCTGGCTTCCAGTCTTGGGAAATCCTTAGCCTCAACCTCAGATAAATGTATCATGTTTTATACGTGTTGTATTTTGCTTTTAAGAGACCGTGATTCTAAGTATGGTCACACTTCAGTCTCCTTAAAGATGTTCCCTTGGGAATCCAGTGTTTGGAAATTTAGTGTTCTGAATGCATCAAATGTGCAGGATGTATTGAAAACATTGAATGCTTCCCAGGCCCACGAGCCACAGAAAGTCTTTTCGAATGTGGTTACTTTGGATCAAAATCTCTCACATATGCTTCTAAATCTTTCCTAAAGTCACAAAGGAGGCCAGAGACCTAGTAGAAAAGCAAAGGAGTGGAGGAAGCTGGGCCCTCATTTGAATTTTCCAATGAGAAATTGCATGGCCTAGAGAAGGATGATGCCCTTCCTTGGAGATAACAGTTTTGTTTTGATAGGTCTTTGATTGCATTGAGGGACGTTAGGAAGTGATGTGCCGGAGATGACACTGAAGTTTCGAACGTGGATAAAACTCATTTTATATAAGTGAGGCAATATTATCTTCCTCATAACTACTTCACAGGGCTACTTGAAAAGTAAAAATAATTATTTGAATATTGAGTAATTTTGTCTTCTTGGAAGAGAGATGATATGGGAAATGAAGGTGGTGTTCACTATGGCTGAATTACAGCTTCTATGAATCTGATTTGAATTCATTATTACAAATGGGCCCTTTTGGCCAGAATCATTTCATTACAATTATCTGCTGTTGGGTTAAAAATGTTCTGTGCCTTTCCATTAGATTAGATGTGACAAGGATCTAGAAGTCCTATGTCTGAATCAGTGCCACGTCAGGAAAGGAGCCCAGGATGCTCACTGTGGTCATTTGGGTCCTATTAAGCCATTTCTGTTGCACGGATGATAGCCCAGTGTGTTTTGTTCCTGGGCCTCAATCTCCTCTAAATTTGGTTTACTTGGTAGAACCACGTCATCTGTGTACATGAACATTGTGAGGGGCTGAGGTGGGATGGAGGCAGGGCTTGTTGCTTTAAGGGACTGGTCCACTAAGTGGGAAAAGTTCCCACTGACATACTGTTTTTATTTATTTGCTTGTTTGTTTATTTATTTTTTATATGGCAGGATAATCAGTTTTGCTGATCTAGGCTTGCTGATCTGGGATTATGCTTAATAACTCTTTTTCTAAAATGACCCTACATTTTCATTTGGAGTTCTGAGCTAATCCATTTGGAACCAAGTATTTGAGGGTTTACTACTGCCACGGAATAATCTGAGCAGTAGGATTTTGCCCAAGCAACTGGGGCAGTGAAGCTCCCAAGGACAACATACTGTTGTTCGCCTGGGCATTTTTCTCTATTTTGCACTCACCTTCAGCAGCTTCTCTGTTTGTGAAAATTAGAAAATTCAGAATAGCCACTAGATTATTGGAAACAGGTGCACCACTTTTGCACATTGCAGTATTTAAGCTGTCTACACTGAATAAGGTCATGGGAAAGGGCAGTCTTCACTCTTGGTCTGGGGAGATGAAGACATAAAAAGAAGCAAGTATGTGTCCGTAAAGGACCCCTCACACAGTGCTGCTGACCTGGGCTGCAGACTGGAGTTGCCCGGGATGCTTTAAAAAACTTCTACTGCCAGCCTCCCAGACCAATGAAATGAAATTCTCTGGAGTTAGGCACCGGGGTGGCTTGTGAGACTTAAAAAATTCTCCTCCGGTATTTCTAATGTGGAACCAGAGCCAAGAACCACTTCTCTAAAGCCCTTTCCTGCCCTCAGAACATCTGAGCAAGTGGATCTCTAATGACCCTACCTTCCCTTGACTGTCTCCTGCGTGCGTGCATGTACCTGACCACCCACGGGCTGCCTTGTACTCTAGAAAGGGCACTGGGTTCAGGGACCTGAATACCTGGATGTGATTCTTATTCTACCACTCACTAACTACATGATTTTGAGCACTTCGGTCCAACTGTGTACACCTAGAAGCAATATCTGCTCAGTCTATGACATCAGCTGAGATGAAGTGTATGGCCTATTCCAACTACAAAGCAACGTATACGTGCAAGTTGTCACTGGTGCTGTGTGGGATTCCTCAGTAACAACCCATAATACTCTCAGTCTTTTCCAGGTTTATGTGCTCTGCCTTTTCCCCCTTCTACACCCACCCCATACACACTTTTAAAATGTGCTGATTTCTTCCCGCTTCCCCTCAGCATCCTGCTTTCTCCTTGAGGCCCAGAATTAGTGAGTTCCAATAACACTTGTTAAGTATCTCGGTTCTAGCAGATACACACCATGGACCTAGCATTTAGGTATGGGTCCAGTTAGACTGGGAGCTCCTGGAGGTTAGGAGCCCTGTCTTATGTACTGAGTACAGATATCATGATGGGCACAAAGGATTGAAAAATAAGAATTGGTTGAATGCTTTAATCCTTTTTAATGGGACTCAGTCTCTTATCATGTATTATTACCTCTGCAACAACGAAGTGCTGATATCTAAAATGTTCCATTCTCTTCAGAATATGACGCTGGGACACTCAGACACAGCAGTTGGTTAGAGATCTTGGAGGCCTGAGGGACTTTTGGATTCTACTTAAATCCCTTGCCACAAGGGACAGCTGAATCCACCAGTGGTCACAAGCT